TTCCTTTTTCTCCCTTGGGACTTCCACCTGAGGAAGGCACAGGCAGAATACAACATGGAGCTATCTGAATCCAGAGAGAAGGAGAAAAGGAGGTGGGAATTCAGCACAGGCAGAGATTGGGGAAAATGGTTCTGGGTGCTTTTTCATCCTGTTTTTCTAAATTCTATACAGTGCAGTTTTAACAATAAAGAGGATAATAAAAATACTCTAGGGGAGAGATTAAAATGACAGAACCAGCTGGGTGTGGTGGCACATGCCAATAGATGCAGCAACTCTGGAGGCTGGGGCGGGATGACGGCTTGAGCCCAGGAGGTTGAGGCTGCAGTGAGTTGATTGTGCTGCTGCACTCCAGCCTGGGTGACAGAGTGAGAATCTGTCTTTTCTTTTTTTAAGGGAGAGAAGAGTTGCTGTTTTTGTTTGTTTGTTTTTTGTTTTTGTTGTTGTTGTTTTTGAGACAGGATCTCACTTAGGTTGCCCAGGCTGGAGTACAGTGGTGCAATCTTGGCTCACTGCAGCCTCTCAACCTCCCTGGGCTCAGGTGATTCTCCCACTTCAGCCTCCTGAGTAGCTAGGACTACAGGCACATGCCAGCACACTCAGCTAATTTTTTTAGTATTTTTATTAGAGACAGGTTTCACCATGTTGCCCAGACTGGTCTTGAACTCATAGACTCCGGTGATCCACCCACCTCAGCCTCCCAAAGTGCTGGGAAAACAGGCATGAGCCACCGCGCCCAGCCAGAGGAGATTTTCAGAATCTACTTTGAGTAGACTGAAAAGAAAGACCATGTTGAAGGAATGGTTTAACAGATAAAGAAAAAAATAATAAAAGAAAGTAAAAAGAAAAGAAAGACCATAAAGAAAACAGAGGAGCAGATGTTAAAGGAGAGGTGGGGAGAAAATTCAACACCATCCTTGTAGTCCAGTGAGGAAACTGAGGCAGCAGCAGGACTTGGACAGCCACTGGGGTTCAGAGCCCAACCTTTTTTTTTTTTGAGACGGAGTCTCGCTCTGTCGCCAGGTTATATTGCACTGGCACGACCTTGGCTCACTGCAAGCTCCGACTCCCTGGTTTAAGTGATTCTTCTGCCTCAGTGCCCCGAGTAGCTGGGATTACAGGCATGTGCCACCACTCCCAGCTAATTTTTATATTTTCAGTAGAGAAGAGGTTTCACCATGTTGGCCAGGATGGTCTCAAATTCCTGACCTCCTGATCCGCCCGCCTCGGCCTCCTAAAGTGCTGGGATTACAGGCATGAGCCACCACGCCTGGCCGATCCCAACCTTTTAATAGGTCACTATAACCTGAGGGAGTGGGAAGACAGAGGGCTGGAAAGGTAGGAAGAGTGAGAAGTCATCTTTCTTGGACACTTGTCATGGCCACCCCAGGCCTTCCCGGCTCTCCTCATCTCATCCCCCGAGATGGGCTCCCTTTGGAAGCAGAAAAACTCCACCCACACTCCCAGAAGACCTCAGAAGCCTGACAGCAGTGACAAGACCACAGGCCCTAAAGAAAAAAGGAAAAGGAGAGTTAGAGGGAATGGAAGAAGGAAAAGAAGGAGAGATGCCCAGAGGGGGTTGGCAGCCGAGAGGAAGACTGGAGGAGCAGGGCTGGAGAGCTGGGCCCAAATCAGGACTGAGGCAGAGAAGTGGGGTGAGGAGGTGGGAGGAGGGACGATGGGGGTGATAGAGCCTCCCAGCTCTTCCTTCCCTCCCACTTTCTCTCCTCCTCTCTCTCTTTCATGATCTTGAAACAACCTTCAAGTCTGGGCTGGAGGCCCCAGGAGGCCAGTCACTTAGGAAACAAAACTGTTTCTTGGAGACCTTGAAAACCCATCTGCAGCTGAGCAGCGTCCCCACCCCCTCCCTGTGCACACACATTCTCCCATGGACTCTCACACACACCCACAGCCGGCTTTGCATGAGCTGCCCACTGGCCCACACGCACGCACACACGGACTCCACACTTGATCTTAGCCAAAAGGCCGAGAAGCGATGTGCACACACGGACACACACGCACCTCTGTACTCATGCTTGCATACAGACAACGGATTCATAGCAGATTGGCCACACATCCGAATGAGCGGTGTCTTCTCCCCTGAGGAGCTCCTCCTTTGGAATGTGGTTTGGTACCACCATGCTGTCTCATACCACACACAGGACCCAACACTCAGGTCCTCCCAGTCATTAACTAGCACACATCCGTACACAGGCACATGCACACTCCTGTCTGTCTCCAACTCTCTTGGTGTCTCTCTCTCTCTCTCTCTCTCACACACACACACACACACACACACACTTCTTACCAACCAAACATTTGATTCAGGACCACTCCATCCCTACTCTGCCCTTGGTGGATCCCCCTCCTGATCTGTGACTTTCTCTCAGCCCACTCCCCAGCCCAGGCATCTTGGCCTTCCATCCTCCTGCTTTCAAGTCTTTCTTTCTCTCTCCTTTGCTCCTCTTACTCCAAGGACCTGGATCCAAACTGGTACCGCTAACTGCATTTGAAGAAACAGTAGCCCAACCCAGGCACTCCAGATCAAAGGATCAGGTGTCTACATCTGTTAATGTCCTAGAGCCTGAGGTTCATGGTGGACAAGCTCTCACTGGGCAGGGAGGGTGGTCAGTGATGCATGGTGGAAGTATAGGCCCTGAGTGTCCTGCCCACTCTTTGATTTCTCTGAGCCCTAAATATGTGAGCAGCAGTGCCCCTCAGGCTGTGCTCTCGCCCAAATGCAGGGCATGGCAGGGAGCCCCAGCAGGCTGTAGGGGCAGTGGAAGGGCACATCCTTTCCGGTGTTGAGCTTAGCCACAGGGACCAGAGCCAGGGCCTTTGGAAGGACTGGGCAGTACTGGGAGGTGCCAGCAGGGGTGAGGGGTGGGATGAGAACTGTTCGAGTGCTTGAAGTTTGCACACCTTCAGATTTGGGAACTGATACTTTCTCTTCTATCTCAGTTTGTGTCCTGGAGAGGGCTGGGCAGAAGATTATCCAGGAATTCCAACCCAGGAACCTAAGGAACAGGTGCTTCCTAAACCCCAACTTACCATTTTGTTCCCGCAGCCCCCAGGCAAAGCTGCCCCAGTGTTGATGCCCTAGCTGCCTCGGGGCCACTCTGGAGTGACTTTGCTTCATACAGCCTCTCCTGATGTCTAACCACAGGCTTTCCCACTACTCCCCTCTCACTCTCTCCTTAACACACAGGGGTTGAACTGGTATCTGTTCCCTTCATTGTTTCCTCCCTCTGCCCATTCTCTCCCAAGACCAAATCCGAGCTCAGTGACGGGGGCGATGAGACGGCCCTGTTGGCCCCATCCTACCCACCCTTTCTGACTATAACCCAGAGCGGGAAGGAGGGTGGAAGTGAGATGTGACCTACCAGGGCCCTGTAATGGAAAATCTCAACTGCAGGCCCGGAGGGGGCCAGTTATTTAGGGAATTCAGATGTGAGCCTTGTGCCCTGAGAGTGGATTTGCTAGAGGAGGGGCTGATAATCCCTCTGCAGGGAGTTCCCTCTGGGGCCAGAGATGGACCCAGCCCAGCCAGCAGGCACCTTAGGCCTCTGGCCAAAGCCCCCCTTCCCTCCCTCCCTTCCTCTCTGCTTTCTTTGCACTCAGGACACTTAGACCTAACCCACTCCGCTGGCTTCCATCACTCCATCTCTGTGCCCAGAGAAACAGGGGCACTCCAGGGGAATCCTGTCCTCTGACTGTTCCCAGTAGAAGGCGGGAGCAGAATTTTTTCTTTTCTCTCTGCCCCTTCTGGGTTCCCCTTCCTCTCTGTGCCCCTCATCCTTTGGCTTTTTCATCAAATGAGCAGCAACAACACCCCTAGACCAGCTGGTCCTTTCCTGGGTCATCTCATTGCCCCCAGTTTCTAGCTGGTATAAGGTTTAAGATACCCTTTCCAGCCCCAGGCAAAGCCTTAGGCATTTCTGGGATTGCTCGTGACTCTGATGGGCACCCTCACTCCTCAGACATTTTCAGTCTCCCCCACTTCACTGCAGAGAGGCCTCTTCTCCAGCCTCAGTTCTGCATGCTGCAGATTTGCCTCCCCTTCCCCACTGGAAGAAGAAAACAGTTGCTCTCCTTTCTCGTTCACATGTCTGATATTTGCTATGATATTGACCTTCACACACATTTTAGAGGTTCTGTATTTTCCTCTCTTGTGTCTTCTCCCTAACGCTACTCACCAACCCCAGGCATATATTCAGTCTAGAGCTCTTCCACAGCGATGAAACGGTGAAACGGTAAATGAGGGGTAAACAAAGCCCAGAGATGTTTCAGATGCCTGCTAGGAGTCCCACCATTCCCCTCTAGCCCTGGTCTGCCCCTCCCTACCAGAGTCTTGATTCTCCTCCAAAACTTTGGAGAGGTTACACCTGGCAGGATTTGGGGACACCCTCTCGCCTCCATCTCCAAACTTCCCGCTGCCTCCGGAGCCACCTTTGACTCCTCCTGGGTTCCCCTTCCAGGTGCCTCAAGTGCAGAGGTCAGCCTTCGGTTCAAGTTCTAACTATTTCTGGGCTTCAGTGTCCCTGCAACCTCTATCATAGAAGGAACAGAGTAGTCTATGTTTCTTTCTTTCCCTGGGAGGTTGGATGTAGACTCGGGAGACCTGAATTCTGGCTCTGTCTTATCAATTCAAATTGTTTAATCTCTCTGAGCCTCAGTTTCCCCACTTGGAAAAGAAGAGTTAGGCCACATGGTCTCTGGCATCCTGGGATTCTGAGTCAACTGCTCCCCCTCAGCCAGATCCTAGGGGGCATATTCCCCCCACCTAGGGCCCAGGCCCACTTCCCTTCAGCCTCTCCCAGTTACAGTGCCACAGAACAGAGGGGTTGAGAGGAGCCAAGGGGGGGCATGCCGCGGGACAAATGGGCTGTCTAGGGCCAGTGGCTAAAGGGGCGGGAGGGGAGGAGTCCTCAGGGATCCTGTTTCAACAAACGTTTCTTTCGGAGGAGGGGAAGGCGGGGGAGAGGGGGAGAAGGACCTATTTAAAGCTACCCTGTTGCTTTGGCTGTCTCTGTCTGCCAGGGTCTCCGGCTGTCCCAGACGGGCTAGTGTGGGCTTGGGATCCTCCTGGTGACCTCTCCCGCTAAGGTCCCTCAGCCACTCTGCCCCAAGATGGGCCGTGGGGTGAGTATCCCTAAAGAGCAGGGGTCGCACTCTGAAGGGTGAGGGAGGCTGCCGAGGAAGGATGAAGTGAGAATGGGATGTGGAAGGAGAGGGAGAGAGAAGCTGAGTGGGATACTTGGAACTTGAAACTAACAGTCTCCAAACTACCAATGCGTGTACAGATCCCAGGGCAGTCACATACCCTAGTGCTTTCCTCTCCTCTGCCCGCCCCTGGCCCCCTGCCCACAGTTAGACCCACAGCCCACCACACACACCCCTTCCATCTCTCCCTCCACCCCACTCCCACATCTCTAGCCCTTCCCTGCGGCAGTCCTTCCTCTCACTGCATCTCCCGGCCTCCCAGCTGAAAGGATGTTTGGCACCGCGAGTCCTCCTGTCTTTGCCACCCCCTGAAAATACCCATTCCTCTGGGAGTCGTAGCCTGAGAGGTTGGGGGTCCATTTTGAGCTTAGAGAGGGGCAGTGGAGCATCCGGCTCCCAGAGTCACCAAGCAGTTCCGGACACCAGTTCCAGGGGCCCTGAGTGCCAAGGACAGCTGGGCGGGGTGTGGGGAGGAAGAGCGATGCGTCCCAGCCCCTACCCCTGCACCCCTCTGGATGTCCCGAGAAGCATTGTCTGTGGGCTCCAAGCCATGGGCTTTGAGGACTTTCCCAAAGGCTGATGACAGTGACCCCCCCAGTCCACCCGTCCATGGCATTCTGCAGCAATGGCTACACCAAAGGGAAGATTAACAACCTCAATGGGGCGGGCAGGGAGAGGGCTTTGAATTCTTGGAAATGAAATTCCCATATGGAGAAGAGTGGCCCAGTCCCTTTACATGCTGTGCCTGGCTGCTTTCCTTTTGTGGAATACTGGCAAAAGAGGACACAGAGGGAAAGGGCATGCTGAGGAACGGGAGGGTGTGAGGAAGACTGTGCCTAGGGGGAGCCATGGGTGTTTCTGGGCCCAGGAGGAGTCAGGCAAGGACATGTTATTGCACCGAGTTGAACAGCTGGGAAATCTTGAGCCTGGACACCAGGGTTCCTGAGCTAGAGTGGGAGCCATAAATAGAATCAGAGTGCATGCATGTATCTGCATGTTTGTGTCTGTGTGTGTGTGAGTGTGTGTGTGTCCTGACCACGTGTTCTCCATAGGCGGGGAGTCCTGCAGTTACTCATGGATGAGTACCTGTGTTTGTGTCTCAGCAGGCAAATTTGTAAATGTACAAGCCTTCAAGCCTGCACAAGCATAAATGTCACTGTGTGGGGTGCTTGAGAGTCTGTGAGCCTGCCCTTAGGAGCTGTGAGGTATGGGTTTCACGGAGGAAGAGGTCATAGCTGCGGGAAGATACACAGTCTTGGGACCTTCAGCTGCATCTTGACATCTCTGGCTCCCCATGGAAAGGACATCCCCAGCTGAGATGCAGGACCTCTGAGAAGAGGCAGGGGTTAAAGGATCAGATAAGCCCTTCACTTCCCCCATCCAAGTGAAGAGAGAAGGAGGGAAGGTAGCCCCCTACCCTGCTCCATCTTAGAGCAAGGTAGACCCAGCTCAGGAGGTCCTGCTTAGGAGGTGATGAGACCTCAACTTTTCCAGTCTATCTTTTTCCCCTAGAACCCCAAAACTCCCCTTAATCACCATCCTCAGTTGCTGTGGGTGATGCAATAACAAGATGAGGAGCAGGTCTAGGCTGTTTAACAGTCTGGGTGAGGTGGGGGTACTTAAGACCTGGAGCTTAGAGTTCAACCTACCAGAGACCCCTGAAGAGGGAAAGCATCTGCTACCCACAACCTGTTCTAGGGATGATTTTGCCTCCAATCCCTTCTCCCCTGCATCTCCACTGCAGAGGCAGGCTTAACTGTCCCCCCATTACCCAGTGGCTGTGAAGGGCAGCGTGGGAGCTGGGGGAAGGGACGACACTGGTGGGAGGGAGCGCAGCCTGCTCCAGCTGCCACCGAGAGGCTGAGATGGGGGGAGCGTTGGCGGATTCCCAGCTGCCCCCACTCTGTCCCAGCCTCTGGCTTTCTCAAAAAGGACTCTCTGTTCTCCTTCAGCATTCAAGACCCAGAGAGGAGGACTTGTGGTTGGGGGAGGGAGGAGCAGAGGGAGGTTGGGGGGGTCCTTGCTTCCTCTCTTTCTTTCTTGCCTGGGCAGCCGCTGGCCCCAAATCTCTGCAGGCTCCTGGCTGCAGAGCCTGAGATCCTTGCCAGGACAGAAGGAGGGGGAAGGGGCAGTGTGTCCCAAGTTTTCAGCCTGCCGGAAAACCGGGCGGGAGCTTGGGGAAAGCAGGCACTGCATGGAGCTGCTTAGCTCAGCCACAATCCAGCATGCCAAAGTGCATGGACCAGCAAGTTTTAAAAAAGCATGCATTTGATTCCAATTTTATGAAATTTATTTTGCATCTGAATATACAGAAATTCCTCTGCACCCTGCTCCTCTACCCACAGACCTAGCGCTGCTCCTCTGTGTATGCTCAGGCCCTCTTCTGTCCCTGAAGTTCCTGAGGGTCACACTGAAGCTCAACCAGCCTGATCTCTTGTCTCTGGTCCTTTGATTGCATTTCATCCTTTTGTCAGCTCTGTCCCACCACAGACAGTTAGTGAATCTAAAGCACTTCAATCCATTCAATTAAATGAATCCTCTTAGGTCACCCGGGAAAGGGAGAGGTAGAACCATTCAAAAGCCTTTCCCCATCCCTTCCATTGGGCTGCTCGGTCTCCCCAAGAAGATCAGGCTTTAGGAAGCCAGAATTATACCAGATTCACAGATGCTTCAGGTGGAGACAAACGCACAATTTGACTGGTCACCTTTTCTGAGAAGAGCACTTCTGAGCAACACAGCCTCTAAAAGCTCATATCCTTTTAAATCACTGGTATCTTGGGACCAACAGTGTTGACTTCTCCCTGCATTCCCCACCCCTACCCTTGCTTCTGATTGTACTGGTCAGACTTCTACCTCTCTAGATGCTGAATTGGTGACCTCTTATGAACAAGACAACTGCCACACTTCTGGGACTGCTCCTGACTCTGATAAGTAAAAAATGCATTACCCTGGAGCACAAAAGACTTAGGGCAGTGAAGCTCTTCCATACGATACCACAATGATGGATACATGTAACTATACATTTGTCCAAACCCATAGAATGTACACTAAGAGGGAACTCAAACTTAAACTATGGGCTTTGGACCATAAAGATGTGTCAATGCAGGTTCATGATTGCAACAAATGTACCACTCTGATGCAGGGTGTTGATAGTGGGTGAGGCTGTGCATGTGTGGGGGCAGGAGATATATAAGAACTTTCTCTACTTCCCACTCAATTTTGCTGTGAACCAAAAACTTGCTCCAAAAAAGTATATTTTTTAAAAAGCAAACAAAACCCCCAAAACTCCATTATCCTGCAAAAAAAAAAAAAAAAAAAAAAAAAAAAAGAAGAAGAAAAAGAAGAAGAAGAAAAAAAGGGCAAACACCTTGGTTGTGGATCCTACCCAGGTATCCACTCTTCATGGGAAACAAAAATTACATCATAGTGTGGGAAAGCTAATTCCTGAAAGCCTAGTGCAGACTTTGCAGAATCCAGTGGAGAAACAGGCACCAGGTGGAAACCGAGAAGCCCCTCTATGACAAGGACTCTATTTCCTGAGGGAAGTGGGAGGAGAGAAGACTGGGGCAGAAGAGGAAGAAGGTACCTTTTTGGGAACTTTTCATGGCTGCCCAGGCCTTCCTCAGCCTCTATCCTATTCTATCACCCCAAGAGGGCCTCCTCTTAGACAGAAAGATTTCCCACCCTCTCCCCCAGAAGTTCCCTGTGAGACCCTGGAAGGCTGGTGGTGGTGAGCCCACAGGCCCTGGAGTGGAAGGGAAATCAGGAGCCTCATAAGGCTACAATTAAAATGTCCATCTGGTCAGGCGCTGTGACTCACACCTATAATCCCAGCATTCTGGGAGGCTGAGGTGGGAGGATCACCTGAGCCTAGGCAATATAGTGAGATCTTATATCTAAAAAAAAAAAAGAAAGAAAGAAAGAAAGAAAATTGTTTTAAATTAGCTGAGTGTGGTGGTGCATGCTTGTGGCCCCAGCTACTTGAGAGGCTGAGGTGGGAGGATTGCTTGAGCCCTAGAAGTGGAGAGTGCAGTAAGCTGAAAATGCACACTGCGTTCCATCCTGGGTGACAGAGTGAGACCCTGTCTCAAGGAAAAAAAAAGTCCCTCTGATTCACCAGATAACCCAGGAATGTCTAGACTTAAAAGTTATATAAATTGTAGTTTTAGATTTATTCTCAGATACAATTTCTTTTGTTTTGGGACAAATGGGGCTCAGTTCCCATGTTACCCAATTGTGCTTTGAGGGGTCCAGTCCTTTGAGTTGCCACCTGTCTAGTAATGGGCAGGCCTGCCCAGCAGGATGGAGAGGGCTCCCAGCACACCCCATGTCTCCACTTCCTGGACATTACCTGACTCTCCAGCTGCTGCCTCCTCTCAGTCCATCAGGCCTGCTCTTTCCATCCCTATCATTCCACCACCAGACCTGGTTCTCTTCTGGACACGTTCCTGCCTAACCCCCTGGCTCCCCTAAGACTCTTACTCCCCCAAGTTCCTGAGTATTTCTAGCCCTCTCTAAGTAAAATTGCCATGGTGTTGGGCTAAGACATTCCTACAGAGTGATTCCACTCCCTCAACAATCCCCCACAAAACCCTGTCCACTCCCTTCCAAAATTTTCCCAAATAGTGTAGGATACAGGTTTTCAAAATTTTTGTTTTGTTTTGTATTTAGCAGCAGGGTCCTTTCAGCAAACAAAATCTTAGCAGATACCCAAGCATTAAACAGCTCAAGTGGTGCTTTTCAGTCCTGAGCCCCTCACCCTTCTCTGAAACTCACATGGGAGCCCCTGGTTCTGCCAATAGTCTACAAACTGAGGGCCTAGGGTCCCTCACCCTCCATCCCCCCTGTCTCCCCAAAGGCAGCCACTGTTTTTGAACCCAGCACCCCCACTGCCTGGGCTCCCTGGCTAAGTGGTGGGAATGGAGGCTCCAGCCCCTCTCCTCCCTGACCCTCTGGCTCTCCCTTCCTCCCGCAGGCCGGCCGTGAGTACTCACCTGCCGCCACCACAGCAGAGAATGGGGGCGGCAAGAAGAAACAGAAGGAGAAGGAACTGGATGAGCTGAAGAAGGAGGTGGCAATGGTGAGGGAACTGCTGGGCCGTGGAGGAGGGGCCCCATGCTGGGAGAGCTGTCCCTGCAGCCCTCAGAGGCTCCGAGAAACTCTGTGTCCCCCCATGCTGCTCACCTCACCCCTGTGCCCTGCAGTGCCCTCATATGCATCTTAGATACCTCCTCCCCAAAAATAACTCACCCTCCTTTCCCCAGGATGACCACAAGCTGTCCTTGGATGAGCTGGGCCGCAAATACCAAGTGGACCTGTCCAAGGTGAGTGGAGGAGCTTCTAGGGAAGGAACAAAAGAGGCAAGGAAACCATGCAGCATCAAGGTGGCAGGAGCCTTAAAACTGTAATCCAGCCTTCTTTACAGATGAGGAAACTGAGGCCCAGAAACAAGGGACTGGCCCAAGGTCATGTGGCTAGTTGGTGGCACAGCCAGAACTACAATCTGGATCCCCTGCATCCTAGCCCAAAGCTCTCTCCCTGTATACCCTAGAAGCCAGGACTCCCTGTGACCGAGACCCCAGAGGGCCTCCAGGCAGGGCCCTTCCCTATACCCCAAGCAACTTCAGTTGCACACAGCCTTCCACAGAGCTGACAGCTGACGCACATGGGCTGACAGCCCATTCCTGTGGTTACAGTGATTTGCTGGGCCCCTGCTACATGTGTGACATTGTGATAGATGCGTTACATACATTTCTCTAATCTTTACAACAACCCTTTGAGATAGATATTGCAGACCTGTTTATTAAACAAAGGAGATGCAGAGAGGGAGAGTAACTTCCCAAGGTCACGTGAACAGTAACTGGTACAGTCAATTGCTAAGCCCTTCAATTAAAAATTTGTTTAAAAAATCATTAATCAAAAAATGCTGGGTGTGGTGGTTCATGCCTATAATTCTAGCACTTTGAGGGGCCAAGGCAGGCAGATCACTAGAGGTCAGCAGTTTGAGACCAGCCTGGGCAACATGGCGAAACCCCATCTCCACTAAAAATACAAAAATTAACTGGGCACAGTGATGGGCACCTGTAATCCCAGCTACTTGGGAGGCTGAAGCAGGAGAATCGCTTGAACCCAGGAGGCGGAGGTTTCAGTGAGCCGAGATCGTACTTCAGACTGGGCGACAGAGTGAGACTCCATCTCAAAACAAACAAACAAACAAAAATTCAGTGGATGTATATCTCCTTTATGGGCCTTCCCTGACTGCTCTGTCTAAAATTCTATGTCCCTATTCCTTTACCTTACTTTATTTTCCTTAGTAACACTTTTCACTATCTGGCACTAATATATTTGTTTATTGTGTGTCACCTCTCCAGATCATAAGCTCCTCAAGGGCAGGGACTTTGTTGGTCTTGTCCATCTCTGCATCCCCAGGGTGACAATTGTGCCCGGCAGTGGATACACATTTATTAAATGAATGAATGAATGAATGAAAAAAAAAAAGAAATGGTCCCTGCTTTAAAGGAGCTCAAAGTCTAGTAGCAGAAAAAATGCAGTCATAGGATTCCAACGCAATATGGTGAGTGCAGCTCTAGAATCAAGTATAGAACACCACGGGGAACCAGAAAGAAGCATCTGAACCAGCCTGGGGCTGAGAGAATAGGGCCAGGCGAGGCTTTCTGTGGAAAGTGTCAGGTGATTGCCAAAGTTGTGTGACACTGATGGTCAATAATGTAGGACTTGACCAGGGTGTGGAAGTGCCCACCTGTAGTCCCAGCTACTTGAGAGGCTGAGGCGGAAGGATTGCTTGAGCCCAGGGTTCGAGGCTGCAGTGAGCTATCATTGCACCACTGCTCTCCAGCCTGGGGAACACAGCAAGAACCCATCTCTTTAAAAAAATCTAGGACTCTCCTAGAATCCTTGATAAAACCATCTGAAGGAAGAGAGATGGGGGAAAAAACAATTGAGGTGTCTTTCCAGGGAGCTTATCCAGACTGTCTCCAGGGGAGATGTTATGGTCCTAACCATAGGTGTTGTCTCAATCCAATAAAATTAGGGGTGGAGCCCAGTCAAACCCTTCTCAGCCCTCAAGCCCTCCAAGTTGCATCACAAATGCTACCTCCTCCATGTGGTCTCTCCTGATGATCCCCTACCCCTTCCAACCAGGTGGGACTTTCCACCTGGGCATTCTTCCCATGCCCGGGAGCTGAAGGGATGGGCATGGTGAGGGGCTGGATTGCTCCAGATGCGTGCCCCTACGCCTCTCCTTGCTCCCTCAGGGCCTCACCAACCAGCGGGCTCAGGACGTTCTGGCTCGAGATGGGCCCAATGCCCTAACGCCACCTCCCACAACCCCTGAGTGGGTCAAGTTCTGCCGTCAGCTTTTCGGAGGGTTCTCCATCCTGCTGTGGATTGGGGCCATCCTCTGCTTCCTGGCCTACGGCATCCAGGCTGCCATGGAGGATGAACCATCCAACGACAATGTGAGCCCACACGCCTGAGCCCTGGAACAGCCCGTGATTGTCCTCTAATCCTGAATCCCCAACATAGTTGGAGGGTGGGCAGGGAACAAGGCCCTCACATCACAGTCCTACAGATGCCTCTGCACCTTAGGCTGGAAAGGGGTGAGGCTTGTATATGCATTTGTAAAGCACTCCCCCCACACAGCACACATACATTCACATACTCATTAATTAATGAAACAATCTCTCCCTGTTCCTCCTCACTTAAGTGAGCCTGTCTGTATGCCTGGGTCTTCACCCACTAGCAAAATCCCAACCCTGGGAACATCCTAAGACTTTCCCTCCTGTTTCTAGTCTTAGCAGGCTTGAGGTTGGCAGATCAAGGGGGAAGTTAGTGAGAAGGGCTTTCCTCTAGCACCATCACTCTCAGTCACAGACAAAGGTATGGGCTGTCATCTTGGATGGCACTGCCTGCTCATCCCAAGTGGCAGCTGCCCCTTTAGGGTGGGGGGGAAGGTCAGGTCCCTGAAACTCTTTCTCCTCACCAGCTATATCTGGGTGTGGTGCTGGCAGCTGTGGTCATTGTCACTGGCTGCTTCTCCTACTACCAGGAGGCCAAAAGCTCCAAGATCATGGATTCCTTCAAGAACATGGTACCTCAGGTAAGATGGCAGGGCTGGGCTCTGGGCTAGGGTGTAAAGTTTTGGCAAAAGTCCAGCTCATCTTCTGTCAATTCCTGTGCTCTAAGATGGAGATGGGCAGAAAAGATCCTCCAACTTTCCATGCCAGCCCCTAATTTTTCATGGGGCTTCTCCTTCTGCTTGGCCAGGGGGGAGGCCAGCAGGAGAATAAATGCAGAGACAAGCATTTCATGCGCTGCCTGTGGCTCCCCACAGCAAGCCCTTGTGATCCGGGAGGGAGAGAAGATACAGATCAATGCAGAGGAAGTGGTGGTGGGAGACCTGGTGGAGGTGAAGGGCGGAGACCGCGTCCCTGCTGACCTCCGGATCATCTCTTCTCATGGCTGTAAGGTGAGGAGGTCATACGGGAGCAAGCACTTGAGTCTAAGGAGCAGGCTGTGTGCACAGCTGAGAGGGGTCCAGTGAGGTTTAAAGGTGGAGAGACCCAGGTCCAAATGTCAACACCTTGCCTATGCCCCTGTTAAACCTTCTCTCAGTGTGGGGGGCGTGTGCAGTGCCTCCTTGCATCTGTGTGTGACAAATGCTTTATGCCCCAGGTATTTCTTTGTTGTCCACTTTTTAGCAATCACGTAATGAGTACCAATTATGTGTCAGCTGCTTTATATATGTTCACATGTGCTATCTGATGTAATTCTGAAAGGGTGGTATAATCATGCAGGGCTGCTGCATGTGGCCACACACGTTGCATTCTGAATGACCCCAGGAGGTGCATTTTCATAAACTTCAGTTAGTGGCTCCCCCTGTGGTTGTGCAAGGCAGCGATTCTGTTTACATTCCCCATTTTACAGTTGAGTACGTGGAGGTTCTGTTGGTTAAGCAAGTAACCTAAGGTCACATAAGAAGTCAGGAGGAGTCAGAATTCCAAACCAGAGCAGGGGCAATAGATGAGTAATGCCATAAATATGTGATGAGGGCAAGTGTAACTTTGTTCCTCATGTCATGAAGATTGAATGTGGTTGGAGGTGGTTCAGGAGACAGCTGTGTGCATACAAGTGGCTCTGCCAGTCTGATGACTATGCACCCCTTCCTCCTCAGGTGGATAACTCATCCCTAACAGGAGAGTCGGAGCCCCAGACCCGCTCCCCTGAGTTCACCCATGAGAACCCCCTGGAAACCCGCAATATCTGTTTCTTCTCCACCAACTGTGTTGAAGGTGAGAAGCCAGCCTGCACCTCATAGGAAAGAGTCTGAATCCTAAATCCACGGTCAGGAGGAAGGGCTCTGGTAGTACTTATCTGGCAAAAGCTCTGCCATTGGTGGCGCAATTGAGGAGTCAGGGGGCCCTGAATATTATGGAAACACCCTCCAGAAAGCAGGGTATTGGCTGGGGGCAGCCTGACTCCATGGGAAATATGTCTCCCTTCCCCAGGGAGATCTCTGTTCTGTCCACCCCAAGGACTGAGTGGATTCCAAAGCTTTCAGGTATCGGGTTAAGAACCCCTTACACATGCGCACACACAGATGCACATACATTCAGAACCAACCTGGATTCTTAGGAGTCTTTGGATTTGATTGATGCTTCGATTCCTTGTGGTTCTGGGCCTAGCTTCCTCCTTCTCTAACCTTTGCTTTGACCAGGGCCCCAGGGTGTGGGACGGCCAGGAAGGCATTCCGGCCTGGTGACCACTTGGGCCCTACTTCAGGCTGCTTCTAAACCTTTGTTACACCAAAAGACATGTTTCATCGTGCACACACTATCCAGTTTGCCCCATCCCTGTTCTGAGTTCTAGAGATAAACAAAGGTCAATAAGAACTCCCAGAGCTGCCATCACTTAATGGCAGGGGTCCAAGCACAACTGAAACCTGTATCCTCTGTGGTCAAGCCAGTGAGCAGAGTCAGGGCTGACTCAGAGAAGGAGTAGGAGGAAAAAGACAGAAAGAGGCCTCAGTAGACCAATGGCCTCTGAAAATAGGGCAAAGGAGGCCTCATATCCCAATCCACACTTCCCCTATCCATTACTCATTTCTCCTCAGTATATTATGTTTGTCTGGATTTTTTTTTTCCCTCCTTCCACAAGTTGGAACTACAGTCACTGCCTGGAATCCACAAGGGATTGGTTCCAGGACCCCCTTGGTTACCAAAATCCGAGGATGCTCAAGCCCCTGATATGAAATGGCATAATATTTGCATATGACCTGCGCACATCCTCTCATATACTTTAAATCACCTCTAGATTACTTATAATACTGAGTGCAATGAAATTTTTATACTGTTTTCATTTTAAATTTGTATTATTTATTGTTGCATTGTTATTTTTATTTAGCTCCAAATATTTTCCATCTGAGATTGGTTGAATCTGTGAAGGTGGAATCTGTGAATACGGAGAGCCAACCGTACAAATCAAAATCACCACACATTACATTTCCTAAGTTTTTTTTTGTTTTGCTTTTGAGACAGGATCTTGCTTTGTCACCCAGACTGGAGTGCAGTGGTGCGATCGCAGCTCACTGCAGCCTTGACTTCCCAGGCTCAAGCGATCTCCCACCTCAGCCTCCAGAGTAGTTGGGACTACAGGCGTGTAACACCACACCCAGCTTATATATATATATATATGTGTGTGTGTTAGATATGGGGTCTCACTATGTTACCCAGGCTGACCTCAAACTCCTGGGCTCAAGTGATCCTCCTACCTCAGTCTCCCAAAGTGCTGGGATTACAGGCATGAGCCACTGAGCCTGGCCAAATTTCCTAAATTTTTAATGCACTGAGATTTTGAAATTTACATTTCCCACAATTGATTTATTCAGAAATGGCTAGTAATATATTCCTATTGCTTATTCTGCAATTGGCTTTGAAAAGCAGAAAGGAAATAAATGAGATATTTGTTGGGCACCCACTATGTTCCAGGCACTGGTCTAAGTATATTAGAGCATGATCTCATCTAAATCTTAAAACAACACCGAGATAGGAATTCAAGCAAGGATTCAAACCCAAATTTGGCTGGCTCCAATGTGCCTGTTTTTTTCAATACACCACCCTTCCTTCCTGGAAGACCCCTGTAATGTCACACAAGGGTTAGCAATTGCCTGACTTCCTCTATAGAGATTCATGCCTAATGTTGAGAAAGAAAAATCTTAAGACTGATTGGAAAATCCATAATGAGTACTCTACTTTGTGTTCATAATACACTTTTGGATGGTATCAAGTATGGGATTGATTTTACCAAAATGCCACAGGCAATTTTTATTTATTGAATTTCCTCTATTTGACCTTTGAGATTATTTGCAAGCTTCTCCCCAGGCTCAAGTACAAGAGAAAATAATTTGCTATTGTATTGATTCTGGGATTGGCGATCTATCCAGGGAAAGGAAGGTCAAGTGGGGACAATCTACTGAAAGTGGCCTCCAGATCTGCGGCTTGGGCTCATCTACCTTGTGATGGTTTTCCTTGACCTGGAAATAGGATGGGACTGCAGTCCCTGGGAGCCACAAGGCACCCAACCTGATGTCCTACCATGTTGCAGGCACTGCCAGGGGCATTGTGATTGCCACAGGCGACCGGACCGTGATGGGCCGCATAGCCACTCTCGCCTCAGGCCTAGAGGTTGGGCGGACGCCCATAGCCATGGAGATTGAACACTTCATCCAGCTGATCACTGGGGTCGCTGTATTCCTGGGGGTCTCCTTCTTCGTGCTCTCCCTCATCCTGGGCTACAGCTGGCTGGAGGCAGTCATCTTCCTCATCGGCATCATCGTGGCCAATGTGCCCGAGGGGCTTCTGGCCACTGTCACTGTGAGTGGGTCAGGCTGAGGTGCCATCAGGGGAGGGCCCCACTACTCTTTCCTCAAAGTGATAGAGGCACAGTTGCTTGTAGCTTCTCAGTACTTTTTCCCCCTAGAGTCACATATTGGATGCGATACTCAGAGATCACTTAATACATGGCTCAGAGTTTGAGTTGAGAAATCTCAGGTGGGGCTATACTTGGGCACTCAATTTCTCTTTTTTTGAGCTTGTCACGGTTACCTTTTCTCATGATCTGCCAGCACTATGGGTCTCATTCTGGCCAAGTCTCCTGTAGATGCCGTCTCAAAGGTCACTGGTCACTAACCAGCAAATCCAGTGACCTTTTCTCAGCTCTCCTCCCTAACTCTGCTGCTGAAACAGATACTGCTGTCCACCCTCCTAGAATTCTCTCTTTTGTCGATTGCTGTGATGTGTCACTATCCCGGTTCGCTTCTCCTCTGTCCCTTCCTGCTCCCCTTATAGTGATTCTCAGGCCTCAGCTCTCTGTTCTTCATACACTCTGAGTGAGAGCCAATCTCCTCCCAGTTTCCAGTGTCCCTTCTGTGTGGATGACTCGGACATCCCTTTGCCCAGCTCTGCTCTGGCCCTCTCTGGAGCTCTAGCCAAATGTCTTAAACCCCCTAATGGGCATTTCATCTTAATAGATACTCATTATCTCAACACATCTAAAATTGAACATTCATTATTTATAGCTAAGTCCCACCCATTCAAGTTAGTGGAGTAGAATCAAGGGAGGAGGAATGGAGCCACGGTCTAGGGTAAGGTTATGGCCATCTCTGGCTCCAGCCTTAACCTTTTTTATTCTCCTCTTTCTCTACCAGGTGTGCCTCACCCTGACAGCCAAGCGCATGGCGCGGAAGAACTGCCTGGTGAAGAACCTGGAGGCAGTGGAGACGCTGGGCTCCACGTCCACCATCTGCTCGGACAAGACGGGCACCCTCACCCAGAACCGCATGACCGTCGCCCACATGTGGTTCGACAACCAAATCCATGAGGCCGACACCACTGAAGATCAGTCTGGTGATTGGGTGCTCCAGAGGGAGTGGAGAGCATTAGAGGACGCTGAGAGCAGTGGCATGGCAGGGTGGGTGGGTGAGATAAAGGCTCTAAAGGGAGCCATGCTCCTGGTTCTCCCTCATTTTCTCCCAGGGGCCACTTTTGACAAACGATCCCCGACTTGGACAGCCCTGTCTCGAATTGCTGGTCTCTGCAACCGTGCCGTCTTCAAGGCAGGACAGGAGAACATCTCTGTGTCTAAGGTAGGAGATCAGGACACACAATAGGTGTGTTTTGGGGATGTCTCCAAAGACCTCTTGCTGGCCCCAGCTTTCTTTCTCACATGCTGTGGCTGCGTTAGAGATTTCAGTGTCCCCTTCACCTGATCCTCCACTCCCTTCCCTCCCACGCTGACACTGAATTCTGGTCTCTTCTGGCAGCGGGATACAGCTGGTGACGCCTCCGAGTCAGCTCTGCTCAAGTGCATCGAGCTGTCCTGTGGCTCAGTGAGGAAGATGAGAGACAGAAACCCCAAGGTGGCAGAGATTCCTTTCAACTCGACCAACAAGTACCAGGTCTGCTTGGGTTGCCAGGACAGAGGAAGAGAGAGGGATAGAAATAGGTGAGGGTAGACAAAGCCAAGGGGAATCATCACTAGAAGGAGTGGGGGTGTCTGAAAGTCACGTTCCCTCCCCCTGCCAATCTCCCCAGGACAGCTCATATGACTGCATGTCTGGTTGCAAGTAGACCCTAGCTCCCAAACTTTACTCCATCCCTTACTACAATCTCTCACTCTCTCAACTCTTCTTCCCATAGCTCCCCATCCTCTGGCCTAGCCTTCCAACTCTTCTACCCCAGTCAGTGAAACCATAATTCTGTAATTCCTTTATGGTGCCCCTTAGCCTTTAGGCCAAGAATGTAATCTCAGCATTCCACATGATCTGTAGAGGTAAAGCCCCCTGAGGCCAGGTGGTGTTGGGGATGCTGAGGAGGGAGCCGTCCAGCCCCTACCACAGTGCCTGTCTTAAACTGACCTCAATAAATATTTGTTGAATGAATGACTGTCTTACGGAAGTGGCTCTCAGGTTACAAGTGTTGGAACTATGAGGTCAAAACACCTCCCTGCACAAGGAGATTCTCTTTGTTGACAATCTTGGATGGATCCGGGTTACTTTACTAAGGTGGTTTCCTTACCAGCTGCTGCTTTATGCCGCGCTACCAAGACAAGCATGGCCATCTCTGTAACTGCCTGTCGTCTCTCCAGCTGTCCATCCACGAGCGAGAGGACAGCCCCCAGAGCCACGTGCTAGTGATGAAGGGGGCCCCAGAGCGCATCCTGGACCGGTGCTCCACCATCCTGGTGCAGGGCAAGGAGATCCCACTCGACAAGGAGATGCAAGACGCCTTTCAAAATGCCTACATGGAGCTGGGGGGACTGGGGGAGCGTGTGCTGGGTGAGAGGCCAGAAACAGGAGGCCCAGAAGGGGATTCCCAAGCCTCTGCAGCATCCCTGGGATGAGGGACTGTGGGGGCGTCCAGGAAGCCATTCTGCGGCTCTCACTGCTCCCTTCTGCCCCCTTTCAGGGTTCTGTCAACTGAATCTGCCATCTGGAAAGTTTCCTCGGGGCTTCAAATTCGACACGGATGAGCTGAACTTTCCCACGGAGAAGCTTTGCTTTGTGGGGCTCATGTCTATGATTGACCCTCCCCGGGCTGCTGTGCCAGATGCTGTGGGCAAGTGCCGAAGCGCAGGCATCAAGGTACTGGCCTCCCTTCCTCCCCTCCATCCTAGCCTCCCTCATGCCAGAGGTCAAGGAGCTGCAGTGGCTGCTGCCCTGGGGAGGCCCAGGCCACAGTGACCTCCTTCCCACTGACTCATAGAAGAAGCTGTCCATCTGCAAGGAAGGGCCCACCCCTGCCTTGGAGCACTCACCCTCATCCCTTTTGCTCATAGAGGCCGCTCAGAGAGGCCATTGTCCCATGCCCCTCCTCTCCCTCCCTGGAACAGCTCATTGTCCCATCTGCATGTGCATCCTTCCATTCTGATTTGAAGCACAATCTGTCACTCCTATTTTGGAGACCTAGTTGTCCCACTCTTCCCAGCTACTGCCCACCCTCTCTGTCAACTTAGGATGGGATTAGCAGGCTCTTGTATGCTCCCAGTGGCTCAGCCCATAACCCCACAGAATGCCTCCAACTCAAGGTTCTCTTGTTCAACTGCAATTGCTTCTCATTGACAACTCCCTCCTTTGTGCTATGTTTGTTGTTCGTTCAACAAATATTTATTATTTACTGTGTATCAGACACTGTGCAAGGTGCAAACTCTAGCACCTTGCACAGTGTCTGATACACAGTAAACAATTTGTGTCACATGACACATCCAGATGGGTCCAGGTTCTGTGGGTACTGTGCCAGGGAGGATGCATATAAATCATGCACTATTCTAAGCACTAAACCTGTATGATTTCATTTAATCTACACAACAACCCTGGGAATAAGCACTAGTATTTTTCCTTTTTTACACAGAAGGAAACTGAGGCACAAAGTAAAATGCCAAGGCCACACAGCTGGTGTAAGTCATAGAGCCAGTACTTGAACCAAGGCAATCTGCTATTTCTTAACTATCACACCAGGAGGCTTGGGGCTGTGTGTATATGTGGTTTCTGAACCCCATAACCACTCTGTCTCCAAGGCAGGCATCATTATCCCTGTTAAGAGTAAAACAAGGCAGGCCGGGCTCGGTGGCTCAAGCCTGTAATCCCAGCACTTTGGGAGGCCGAGACGGGCGGATCACGAGGTCAGGAGATTGAGACCATCCTGGCTAACCCGGTGAAATCCCGTCTCTACTAAAAAATCCAAAAAAAACTAGCCGGGTGAGGTGGTGGGCACCTGTAGTCCTAGCTACTCAGGAAGCTGAGGCAGGAGAATGGTGTAAACCTGGGAGGCAGAGCTTGCAGTGAGCTGAGATCCGGCCACTGCACTCCAGCCTAGGGGATAGAGCGAGACTCCGTCTCAAAAAAAAAAAGAGTAAAACAAGGCTGGGCACAGTGGTTCATGCCTGTAATCCCAGCACTTTGCAGGGCTGAGGCAGGTAGATCACCTGAGGTAAGGAGCCTGAGACCAGCCTGGTCAACATGGTAAAACCCCATCTCTACTAAAAAAAAAAAAAAAAAAAATGAAAATTAGCCACGTGTGGTGGCAGGCGCCTGTAATCCCAGCTACTTGGGAGGCTGAGGCAGGAGAATCACTTGAGCCGAGATTAGGCCACTGCACTCCAGCCTAGGCGACAAGAGCAAGACTCCATCTCAAAAAAAAAAAAAAAAAAAAAGTAAAAAAAAAAGTAAAGCAAATGGAAACTACAAGTGGGTAAGTTGTTTTCCCAAAACAAAACTGCCAGTAAGCGATGGACTGGGACTATGAAGCGTGGTCGGCTTGACCGGAAAGCCTGAGCTCCTGCTGCTTGGCCAGTGCCTCTTTCTGTGATCAAAACCATCACAGAGGCCCGGGCAGAGGACCTCTACGGGAAATCAGCTCAGGGAGGTATTAATTCTGCCTCAGAGAACTGGACGATGTTTGACAAAGGGAACGATATTTGAGCTGGGCTTTGGAGGTCAGAGTATTCTGCAAGGCAGCGAGGGAGAGGAAGGCATGTCAAGATCAGAGAACAGTGCGTACCCTGGCGTGACTAGACTGTATGGGGCGTGTGTAGGGCTTGGCAGGGGAGAGGTGGCAAGGAGCACTTGGGGTTGAGACTGGAACGTTGGGTCAGAGCCAGTTGGAAGGACTTGACTTAAATGCCAGACTTGGGCTTTATCCTGCAGGCCACAGAGAGCCACCAGTATCACGGGGGAGGCTGAGCTTTTAGGAGACTACCTGGGTTGAGGAGGGACTGAATTTGAGGAAGAACTGGAGTCAGGGAGAGACAGGTTAACAGGCCATTGCCGTAGTTCAGGCAAGGAATGATGACCTGAACTAGGGCAGCAACAAAGGGAGTGGAGAGGAATAGCCGTGTTTGAGAAATGTTTTAAGAACTTGGTGACCAAACTGGATATGGAAGGTGAGGAAGATACAGGCGAGAAGGGGACAGGATAATTAGATAGGGCAACATCTAAGGTAGGCAGCAGTTGCAGGCTTGGTGGGGTGGTGGGAGTAGAGAAAAGGAGTTCAATGTTGACTTTAAGCTTGAAGAGTCTATAAGATAGCCCAGGAGAGACAGATGTTCCGGCGAACATTGGAGTATGGCTTAGAGCTCATGAAAGACAGTCAGGACTGGAGATTTGAATCTCATTAGCGGAAGGGTGCAAACTAAAGGCTTATAGTATATTTTATTATATTGCCCAGGAAGAGCAGACAGGTCAAGTGAAGGGAGGAGAATGAAACCCTGTGCCAAACCAATTTTTAGGGGCAAGAGGAACCAGTGAGGAGGGGAGAGGGTGGTAGGACCCAATGCCATTTAATCTTCATGACCACTTGGGAAGGCAGGAATCATCTCTGAATTGTGCTGAGACCTCAGTGCTTGACTTGCCTGAGGTACTGTAGCTGGAGAAGGTCAGTGTTTAAACTTGAGCCCCTCATTCAACTCCAAAGCCACTGCTTCTTCCATCCTACTAGGCGGCTGCCCTGAGAAGCTGGGAAAGAGCAAGCAGAGGAGTGGAGGGAAACCAGAAATGGAGGAGTGTGTGGAAGCCAGGGGAGGGCAGGGTTTCAAGGAGAGGAGGTCAATGGTGCCAAATGCCTCAGAGGGGTCAAGTAGGATGAGGACAGCAAAGACACTTTCATTTTTCAACTGAGAGGCCCATTTGGCCTTTGGGTGGCAGTTTCAGTGAAGTGGTGGGAGCGGAAGAGAAGGCAGTGGGGAGTATAGAGGCTTCCTTTTCAGTATTCATGGGACTTGCCCCACAAGCCCACACGTGCAAATGTTATCCTAACCCAACTCTGCTCACCTCATGTTTAGAATAGCCACTTAACCTGTCAGATGCCAGCCACCCTCCCCATCCCAACTCCATTCACTCTGCAACAATAGCAATGAACACTATGGTGAAGGCAGGGACCACTGTGCCTTACACCAGGGAAGATGTCAGAGGAGGTGGAGGCAGGGGTGTTGTCTCCATCTTATTCCTGTTCTGTCCATTACATTGCTGCAGTGATCAGTATTTCACACTAAGAATCTCATGTCCTATTTCCGAGCCCCCGTGCATTTGAGCAAATTGTAGGCCCTCTCTAAGTCTTGGTTTCCTCATGTGTAAAACAAAAGAGTTGTTCAAGGGTCCTTCCAGCTCCGACTGCCTTGAAGCCCATGAAATCCAAACTCTAAAATAATCTCCTAAATAATCCCAAAGATTTGAGGCTTCTCTTCCAGGGGATCCTCATGAACTTGTTACTCTGTTATGGATACTTTCCTGCACTTAAGCAAACTATCTCTCTCTAACCCTCTGAACATAACACAACTTGCCATTATCTTTCTTCCTCACCCACCCACCCAAATTTGCACACACACACACACACACACACGAATCCCCACCCTACATACACACACACACACCCCCCCTTCCCCCCACACACAAACAATCCCCAACCCCCACCCACAAACACACGTCCCACACACACACACCCCAGACACACATACACACACACACACACACACAGCCCCGCCCCCCCAACACACACACACACGCCATTATTTCAGGGCTGGGATCTGCCAGCCCCAGACAACTCACTATCTAGCTTTCTCTTACTTTGGGAGAGGAATAGGAGGGGGATAAACTCTTAATACTGCTTTCCTTTGGTCTCCTCTCCTTCCCACTAGGTGATCATGGTAACCGGGGATCACCCTATCACAGCTAAGGCCATTGCCAAAGGCGTGGGCATCATATCAGAGGGTAACGAGACCGTGGAGGACATTGCAGCCCGGCTCAACATTCCCGTGAGTCAAGTCAACCCCAGGTGAGGCCTCTGCAGGAAGCCCCTGCTCCCCCTATCAACACGGCCTCTTGCACAGAAGGCTTGGGTGTCCCCTGGGGGTATTTGGACAGCATTTCTGGGACCTTTATAGGTCTTACCTCTGACACTACTGTGACTGGTTCCTCAGCCCTGAGCTTGTGTCCAGGCTGTGCCACTGAATTCCCGTGTAACCTTGGGGATGTCACATTCCCATCCTGAGCCTCCATTTTCTCACCACAAAATTAGGATACCATCTCCATTGATGTAGGAGTGGGATGTGAGTAAAGAAACTAGCCCAGGGCCTAGCAAACTGCACTTATGACTGCGATGATCCCATGGTGAGGATTTAGAGTCCCATCCTCAAAGAGAAATGGGGGAAGTGAGTACTGAGGAGAGGAGAACTGAAGCAACAGGGGAAGCAGGCTCAGCAGGGAGCTTGCAGGCCATGGTGGTGAGGAGAGGCAGGGGGCAGGAGGGGCTGGTACAGGCGCCAGGGGTCAGCTGTCTCTGCCCCCACCCACCCTCCAGAGAAGCCAAGGCGTGCGTAGTGCATGGCTCTGACCTGAAGGACATGACATCGGAGCAGCTCGATGAGATTCTCAAGAACCACACGGAGATTGTCTTTGCTCGGACGTCTCCCCAGCAGAAGCTCATTATTGTGGAGGGGTGTCAGAGGCAGGTGAGCACAGCCATGGGAGGCAGATGACAGGCAGGAACCGGGGAGGCAGGGACAGGGCCAAGACAAACATGGAGTGAGGGGTGAGGGGCCAGGCTTGGACAGGGGTTTCGTCCTCAAGTGCTGGCTGTCTTCCCTCCAGGGAGCCATTGTGGCCGTGACGGGTGATGGGGTGAACGACTCCCCTGCGCTGAAGAAGGCTGACATTGGCATTGCCATGGGCATCTCTGGCTCTGACGTCTCTAAGCAGGCAGCCGACATGATCCTGCTGGACGACAACTTTGCCTCCATCGTTACGGGGGTGGAGGAGGGTGAGGAGGTTGCATAGGCTGGGATGGTTCACAGGATACTGAAGCCAGAACCTCTGTTCCCCGTCCCTTTACCCCAGTTGAAAAATCATTCCATGACTCTAGGCAGCCCAGCCTTCTTTAGCTTCCCTCGAACACAAAATCTTCCTCTCTTGGGAAGACCGGCAGCCATGCTTCAGGGGCTAGGGGTGGGGAAGAGTCCCTCTGACCTCCCTGATGCCCTCAGAATCTCCCCACAGGCCGCCTGATCTTTGACAACTTGAAGAAATCCATCGCCTACACCCTGACCAGCAACATCCCGGAGATCACCCCCTTCCTGCTGTTCATCATTGCCAACATCCCCCTGCCTCTGGGCACTGTGACCATCCTCTGCATTGACCTGGGCACGGATATGGTGAGCACAGGTGGTGGAGGAGGGTACAGGCAAGGCAATCATGATGGCACAGTGGCAGGGGGAAGGGGTGTACTGGGGCAGCAGTCCCAGCTGTGGGGGTTACAGGAGACACGCACAGGCCTAGAAGACAATGGGGTCTGAATACATGCTTTTTTAACTGTGTCAAAGATCTTCACTGTCGAAGATCAATTGCTCCTGTCGTCTCCTATACCCCTTCAAATGCCCTCCCTGCCCCACTTCCTACCCCACACAGGTTCCTGCCATCTCCTTGGCCTATGAGGCAGCTGAGAGTGACATCATGAAGCGGCAGCCGCGAAACTCCCAGACAGACAAGCTGGTGAATGAGAGGCTCATCAGTATGGCCTATGGACAGATCGGTGCGCCAAGCCCTGGGGCTCAGGAGGGAACCCCAACAGGATTCTTTTCCCAGCTTTCAGAGGAATGAGCCCCAAGCAAAATTCCAGGACAGGGGCCAGCTACCCAAGGGTCAGGGACCTCCATCTCTGGCCCTGAGGGGCTGTGCCCCTTCTGCTTCCTGCTCTGACCCTGCCCCTGCCCTTGCCCCTCTACCCACAGGGATGATCCAGGCACTGGGTGGCTTCTTCACCTACTTTGTGATCCTGGCAGAGAACGGTTTCCTGCCATCACGGCTACTGGGAATCCGCCTCGACTGGGATGACCGGACCATGAACGATCTGGAGGACAGCTATGGACAGGAGTGGGTGAGTGACACTGTGTAAGTGCAGTGCGCATGTTTGAAGGTGTGGGGAGCTGAATGCCTGGCAGGAGTGGCCAGTAGTGGCCAATAGGGACTGGGGCTAGGGGTGGATCAGGAGAAACCTTGCTACCTTCTGGTCTTACCCTTTCCTCCGACACTTTCATCTCTCTCTGCCCACCCTCCCTCCAGACCTATGAGCAGCGGAAGGTGGTGGAGTTCACGTGCCACACGGCATTCTTTGCCAGCATCGTGGTGGTGCAGTGGGCTGACCTCATCATCTGCAAGACCCGCCGCAACTCAGTCTTCCAGCAGGGCATGAAGTGAGTGCCCGCCCCATGGTACCTGCCCACCACGGGTCCGGGCACACTCACCAACCCACACAGGCCAGCCTTCCCACTCAGCCCTGGCCCAGAGTTGTAAGGAGGGCATCAGATTTTAATCTTCCATCTGTATATCCATAGATAGGCTTCATATAGAAGAGAGAAGCCATGCCTCAAGCTCCTAATTTTGCATTTTGTTATCATCTCTCTCCACCTTCCTTCTCTCCCTCCCTCCTTCCCCCCTCCCTCCTTTCCCCCATCTCCTACTGGAGTGCCACCTGTTCCTATCCTTTGCCCATCCCCAAATTCAGTGTCTTTTATGCCCACCCCTGGCTTTCCGCAGGCAGCCTAGTTTATAGCACTTGCACTGTGGTTCTGGAGGCCACACGCTGCCGAGGATCCAGTTCAGTGCCTCCTTGCAGTGTGAGTTACAACGTGCCAGGCACCGTGCTAAGTGCCTAACACACTGTTTAGCCTCACGATAGCTCTATGAGGTGGGTATTACTGTTTACATTTCATGAATAAGAGGCCCCAGACAGGTTAAATGGTGTGTCCAAGGTCACCAAGATGGTAAGGGTTCACCAGACCTGTCTCTAAAGCCCAGCCCTGGCTACTACCCAGCATTTCTGTGCTCACACTGTCTGGCACTGTTTGGAACTCAATAATGACCGTGATTCTAGCATGGGCGGTGGTTGAGTGCTGAAGGTTTCATGCTGGTTTCTTTTATTTTCTCCTACCATAAACAATGGCCACAATTCTTCACATGAGCTTGTCACAGTTTCTTAGTTTGGGGCTGGGGAGGGTGGAGAGAAGATGCCAAAGTGCAGTTAATAACACTTAAGGTCCAAGGGAGAACAAAGTGAAAAGCCTGTTAGATAAATAAAGGTAATATGAAGGAAGGAGATTCCAGTATGCTAAAACTACTGATGGGAAAAAATGCAGTTTGAAGAGACCAAGGAGCAGAGATTCTTAAGAAATTGGGTATAGTTCTGGAACCTGGGACTTGCTATGCACTGTGTGGACAACACAGGAAGATGCGAACGTGGCCACACTGGCTACCTCCAGCCCATCTTAGAGGCAGATGGGAAAAATAGCAAATGAAAGTCTGGCTGGGTACAGAGGAAGAGTACTAATACCACCGCAGGCCTCACCTTAGGTCCCTGGGCCACTGGGGATCCTCAGAGATACTATTTGCCTTATTTTGAAAAGATTTATGAAAATAAAGCACCCACCTATGAGAAGGCAACCAGGCTTACTAATGTGCCATTCTTAGGCAAAAGCCAAGAGCACATATCATGAAGTAGTGATCGAATGCTGATCCACAGTTCTGTTTGGAAGCCATGGATAGTTCTAATTAATTTTAAATGGGAAAATGTATTCAATACTTATTCACAAATGTAGCTTGAGAGACAAACAATTAAATGTGGCCTTTACAGAAGAAAATAAGGAGGTCTTTAGTGAGTGAAAATTTGGAAATCACTGGCCTGAACCAAAAAGAGGTACCTTGTGTAAGAATACAAAAGATGAAGCAGCGGGGCACAGTGGTTCACACCTGTAATCCCAGCACTTTGGGAGGCCAAGACAGGAGAATCACTTGAGCCCAAGAATTTGGTACTAGCCTGGGCGCATGGTGAAACTCTATCTCTACAAAAAATACAAAAATTAGCAGGGCATGGTGGTGCACACCTGTAATTCCAGCTACTGGAGAGGCTGAGGCAAGAGGATCACTTGAGCCCAGGAGGTGGGGGTTACAGTGAGCTGTGATTGTGCAGCCTGGGCAACAGAGTAAGACTCTGTCTCAAAAAAAAAAAAAAAAAAAGTGGAATAACAATATGACTAACATTTTCCATGTTTCAGAGCTTTTCACGTGTTATCTCCCTTAATCTTCCCAGCAACCCTATGATAAAAATGTAAAATCTCCATTTTATAGAGAAGGAACGTGAGGCTTAGAGAAATTCAACATTGCCTGCAACCCAAAACTAGTCAATGGCAGAACTGGGAATAGATACCACCTGTCTGACTGCAGACACTGCCTTCAGAACCTCCTTATTCTATCCTGCTTTTCAATTCTGATACAGTGAACATATATTAACCACTTATTATGCAGTGAGCATCCCCTTTACATTCTCTGAATTCAATATCTATGATGAAACCACCACCAGGAACTGTGGGAGATGCTGAGACGGTAGAAGACATACATGGGCCCTGCACTGAAGGAGCTTTCAAGCATCTTGCTCAGGAGACGACACTTTCACGGGCCCTATGCCTGGAGCAATAACAAGATCATGAGACAGGCCCCATGTTGACCACCATGTCCCCAGTACAGAACACATCACCCAACACCTAGAAACAATTATTTAATGAATGAATATACGTGCAATAGACTACATTCAGAGGTAAACTCAGTAAGCAGAAAAACAAATAACATCTTCCTTTGGTTACATAAAACATGAGAAGAGGATGTTGGAAGAAGACATGGGACTATGTCATTTAGAATTCTCTCTCATCTTTCCCTTGCACCCCAGGGGTATCCCAGGATCTCTGACACCTTGATTCCCCTTCACCTGCTACGCTCCTTTCTTTGCCTTTCAGGAACAAGATCCTGATTTTTGGGCTCCTGGAGGAGACGGCGTTGGCTGCCTTTCTCTCTTACTGCCCAGGCATGGGTGTAGCCCTCCGCATGTACCCGCTCAAGTGAGTGTCTCTTTCGGGCAGCCTGAGTAGTCATATAGGGGGCCTTCAGCCTCCTCCAGGATCCAAGTTCTGATCGGTTTGAATGCTCCTTTATGTGATGGCCACCAAGCCGACCTCTGATGCTCCTGACACTCTCCTCCATTGCTTTCAGAGTCACCTGGTGGTTCTGCGCCTTCCCCTATAGCCTGCTCATCTTCATCTATGACGAGGTCCGAAAGCTTATCCTGCGGCGGTATCCTGGTGGTAAGCCCCTCCACATCCCCCCCAGCAAAGTGCAAGCCCCTCCACCAGCTCCTCCCTCCAGGACCATACACAGACTCCACTCCCACGACTGGTTCCTGCTCCTGTTCCTCAACACCCTCAGATCCTGGGGTCCCAGATCCCAGGAGCCCTGACTCTTTCGAACGTGTTGTCTCTGCCCTCTTCCTGTCAGATTCTAAGTCCCGCCTAACTCACAGTTGGTCTCTGAGGCCCTCCACCTTCCACCTGAAACTACAGAACATCAGAATTAGAAGGGCCTTTCCAGGTCACCCAGTCCCACCTCCATATTTTACAGATAGAGGAGGCTCAGAGGTGAATCTGTTCAGGGTCGCAAAGCAAAGAATAGCAGGACTGGTACTAGAACCCAGGCCTCCTGATCCCCATGCATCAACCGACAAGTTATTGGCTTTCCTATAAGCGTTTTTTAAATCACTTAGTAGAGGTTAAAATATGGTGGCTTACAAACCAAATACTGTCCAGGAATACTGTTTGGTTTGACCTGTCCCATATTTTGTGTGTGGGGGGAGGAGGGGCGATTAATTGGTCCAGTATAGAAAATTTGGGGTCTTTCACATAAAATCTGAATTTGACTTCTCCTGAAGAATCAGAAGAGCTGTTAACCCCATGTCCACATCTCTGCACAGCAGTAATGGACAGCTGCTCCCTTAGACTCTCATTCGTTACCTGAGGAGGCCCTGTGGCATTTGCATTTTCACCCCCGACCTACTCTGCCCCAGCCTCCACTGTGCTAAATACAAGTCTCCCCTAAAGGCAGGCTCACCCTCCCTTCCTTTGACCTATGGCCCCAGCTCACTGGACCTGCCTCTCCTCCCTTGCACCTTCCTTTTTTTTTTTTCTTTTAAGACAGAGTGTCGCTCTGTTACCTAGCCAGGAGTGTAGAGCAGTGGCACGATCTTGGCTCACTGTAACCTCTGCCTCCCGGATTCAAGCAATTATCTTGCCTCAGCCCCCAGAGTAGCTGGGATTGCAGGCACATGCCTCCACGCCCAACTAATTTTTTGTATTTTTAGTAGAGACAGGGTTTCACCGTGTTAGCCAGGAGTCTCGATCTCCACCTGCCTCAACCTCCCAATGTGCTGGGATTACAGGCGTGAGCCACTGCTCCTGGCCTCCTTTCACCTTCCTAAGCCACTTTCCTCAGTGCTCTTCACCAGGCTTCTCCTTCTACCTGGCCTCAGCGACCCAAGCCCCTAGGATATTGATATCTTGCCTTCTCTTAAGTTCACACTGCAATCTCCACTCCCAATCTCTCTAACAGGCTGGGTGGAGAAGGAGACATACTACTGACCCCATTGGAAGAAGAACCAGGCACAGAAAGATGGGGAGCTCTGGAGGTGTTGTGGGGATGGTGATGGAGAGGGATGGAAATAACGGGTGGCATTGGGTGGCAAGATTTGGGGAGAGATAATGAGGCAACTCAGCAGGCTAAGTTGCGGGGTAAATAAATTGGAGTGATGACCCCATAGACCTAACTGTGAACAATCAGATTAGACACTACATTAGAGTCCCCCAACCAGATCCTTTTCCATCCCACTCCACTATGTTGTCTATTTTTTTCTGAGGAATTAAGGGTTACCCCACCCTCCCCACTCCCATCCCTTCAATCCCACCTCCTACTGTAATAGATCAGCATCCAAAGGCAGGAACCTGTCTAAACCAGAAGGAAGCCCTCTCAGATCACCCCAGCTTCACTCCACTTCCCACTTCCACCCCCGTTAGCTTCCTGCAGGATTCTCTGTCCCTGGCTTCCTCTTCAGGTGCTTTGTCTAAAAGGTTCTTCGGGTGAGTGCAAGAGCCTGAGGCTGGAAAAGGCTGACTTGTCTCCCAGTCAAGGCTGGTAAGGGACCTGCAGGGAGAGCTGGGCCAGACAGGTGGGAGGTGGGGGTGAGTACTAGCTGGAGGAAGGAAACAACAAAGGGAAGCGAGAGTAGTGCCAATGACAAGACATTTGATGTGTCTTGGAGTCTCTGAATAGATGTCATGGACTCCAGCTCTATGTCCTGCCTTGAGTCTCTAGATAGATGTCATGGACTCCAGCTCTATGTCCTGCCTTTTAGAATACCCCACCGGCAGAACAAACTCAGATCTCATCAGGGTAGCAGCAAAGGCAGGACCAGAAGGCAATCAAGAGCTTCCAGCAACGCCACACCACAGAATTCCCTGCTGACCCTTGGTTAGGGGTCCTCTTGGTCCACAAGGCCCAGATGTCACTCATGTACTTAATAACACCTCACCTTCTGTAATACTAAGACCTCAGAGCTCCATGCTGTTCTGAGAGGGATGGCCACAAGTTTTTTCCCAACCCCTTCCATTCCCTTTCTCTTCATGCCCATCCCGACGAACCTGCATCATTCCCTGGCACTGCCAAGGCAACCCTAGAAAAGGAGTTCCCTGGCCATTGGCTAGAATCAGGGTGGAGAAGTTCCCAGAACCTTCCTGTCTCCCAGGGCAGGGACATGTATGCTTCCAGGGACAAGCTTAGGTCATGAACATGATCAGAACCTTTGGACAAGAGGAAAAATATTACAAGATTTGCTTTTGCCAGGCGTGGTGGCTCACGCCTGTAATCCCAGCACTTTGGGAGGCTGAGGCAGGTGGATCATGAGGTCAAGAGTTCGAGGCCAGCCTGGCCAACATAATGAAACCCTGTCTCTACTAAAAATACAAAAAAATTAGCCAGGCATGGTGGCGCACGCCTATAATCCCAGCTACTCAGGAGGCTGAGGCAGGAGAATTGCTTGAACCTGGGAGGCGGAGGTTGTAGTGAGCTGAGATCGTGCCATTGCACTCTAGCCTGGGTGAAAGGGCAAGACTCCATCTCAAAAAAAAAATTTTTTTTTGCTTTTGATGTCTTAGGTGGCAGGGCTATTCCCTCCAGGCAAATGCCCTTCACACCGACGATCATTGTGCCCACTTTTCCTGGGCTGGAGAGTTGGTTTCAGTTTCCTACAGGAGATACCTTTCTTTCCCTTACTCCCTGTCTAACATTTGTGCTCTGCAGGCAGCTTTGCCCATTCTCTAAGCCTGGCTTAGAAGGCACTGGGAATGTCCTGTAGAGAGAGACCTAGATAAGTCATGCAAGTGAGAGAGACATCTGAGGAAAATAGAAGACCTAAGGCAGACAGGAAGGAAGCACAAAAGACAAGCACTGGGTCAGACCCATAAACCACCTCCCAAATGCTGTCATTTCATTGTACTGGAATTTAGCTTTATCAGAAGCACCTGGAAGTAAGGGAGTCATTGCCTTGGACCTGGGAATCTAAGTGGGAGACCATATTAATTTGGGTCCGATTAATTGGAGATTACTAACTATGGACAAAAGTTTATCTTTGCACAATCAAAAATGGCATTTGTTTAGTAAATTAAGAGTATAAACAATATTGCTAGAGGTGGCATGTTTAGTCTACCGAAAACAATACTTTTCAGGCACTTAAGAAATATCCTTTTAGAAGCAGCAAGTGCATGGGCTAATTATCATCAATCTTTATGTATTTGTTAAAGAAACATCTACAGGATCTTTATTGGTGACCTTTTGTAAGACATTAGTTTGAGGTACTACCTATGTACTTGAAAATAATAAAGTTGCATTTCTTTATGAAAAAAAGAAATCTCTTCCATAATTCAGATTTCTACACTTTATACTTGCCTCCCTCCTAAATTGTGATATTGCAATGTGTGCTGTGGCAGAACTTGGGCTTGTAGGGGAAACAACAAAGAGATAGCAAGTGTCAGGGATGGGAGGGAAATGGTCTGGGAGCAGATGACGTCCGTGGAGAAAACGAGAGGGGAAGAAGTTAGGTTGCAAAATAACCTACAAGAAACTATAGTAGGAGCCTCCTTCCTCGTGCTGATCCCACCCTAAGAGCCACAAGGGTTTTGTCCAGGACAGGGAAGGGCCTGTGAGTCTATGAAGACCCAGATCCTCAGGGGCACTTCTGCTTTTTCTGTTCCAGACCAAAATCAGGCCGCTCTCGATCTGATGGGATGGAGGAAGGAGATAGTGGGTTGAGGGGCCCAAGAGTCAACACCAATTCACAGTCTGTACTTCATGCAGAGCTTTGTCCTGGGTGCTCTCTTTAAGGGGTGGGGGTAAAGTGGATGCAATCCTTGAAATTCACCTGAGTAGTAGACATCAGAAACTATCATGGACAGAATGTAATGGGCAGGGAGAGAGAAAGACACCAACTCTTACAACCTGTGCCAGGATCTCAGAATAATGGTCAGAAGTCAATTCTTGCCCAAGCCATATTACAGCCCCTTTATTATGACTCTAACAGTGTCATTAATGACAGTTATAGTAGTAGTGATTATAAGAGCATTAACCGCAGCTCATTTTGTGCCATAACTATGCCAAAATTTTATTTATATAGTCTCTGTTCATCCCACTGCAGAGCCTTTATTCTTGATGGCCCTTCTGCCAGGAACACTCTCCCCTGTTCACATACCTAGCTTTGTCCCTTTATTCAGATCACTCCTTAAATATTACATCCTCAGTAAGATCCTCACAGAGGACCTCAAATAATGACTTTCTGGCACCTCTTTCTCTATTCTCTTTGTTTTTGTTCATAAATACTTATTACCTTAAATTCAGATAGAAAGACAGCTAGATGTAATATTTAGAAAGATAAACATGTATTTTGTTGTTGTTTATTTATGCTTTTTTTTGACTCCTCCAGTATAAGTTCCATGAAGACAGGGACTCTATTTCTTTTGTTCAACACCTTTATCCTTAGCACCTAAAACATCTGATACACATTAGGCAACTAATAAATACGTGTTGGATGACTGAAAGGATCTTCACAATAATTCAGTAAGATGGAGACTACTATTATCTCCAATTTACAGATGAGAAAACTGGTGCTCAGAAAGTCAAATTATTATTCAAAGTTTCAAAGGTAGTAAGCATCAGAAGCAGGATTCAAACCTAAGCCAGTCTGACTCCAAGGCACGCCCTCTTAACTGTGCCATGTTCTGCAACTGCAAGAACAGAAAGCCTATAGGCATGGACAGAGCCTGACTAGCCCAGTGGCTCAGTGAACTGGGGAGGCTGCCAAGGGAGCCAGGAATCTGTGGCCAATGAACATTTGAGCAGCAGAGGCAAGGCAGACCCATAAGAAAGGGAGAAGACATGATCTCAAAGATGCAGTAGGGGGTTAAGAAAAAGATCCAGGCCAGGCACAGTGGCTCACGCCTGTGGTCCCAGTCACTCGGGAGGCTGAGGGAGGAGGATCACTTGAGTCTGAGAGGTTGAAGCTGCAATGAGCCATGATTGGACCACTGCACTCCAGCCTGGGTAACACAGCAAGCCTCCGCTTCAAAAAATAAAAATAAATAAATAAATAAATAAAAGTTCTAAATAAATAAAATCTTTGTGTTTTAGCAAGCATAACTCCCTAAAAATCCAATAAATTCAACCAATAAAGCAACAGCATCAATAGCAAAAAAAATCCTAGAAGCAATAACTTCAAAGTTACAGGGTACATTATATCAGTTTTCAAAGAATCAAATGTATCCCTAAATATTAGGGAGACAGAAAATACAGCATAAAGAGCTTCTATTTACAATAGAATAGAAACAAATTATACTCAGGGTTTACCATGTGCAGCATATAGTAATTATTAAAGAAAATTTAAAAGTACAGTGAAAGAAATTTTAAAAACATGAATTCATGGAAAGCTAAACTTGACTGCCATTTGGGAAGGCAGAATGTAGTAAAGATAAAAATAAGTTACTATGAAAGAGTCAATTCAATATCAATTAAAATCCTCACTATATTTTTATAAAACATGACATATGGGTTGTGACATTCAGCTGCAAAAGTAATCAGGCACAGGGAATCTCAGAGGTTTTTTTCTAAGTAATTTTGAAGCAAATGAATAGATCACTGATGCTAACATATTTACCCCAACAGATTTTAAAACACATCAGACCACTGGCCGGGCACGGTGGCTCACGCCTGTAATACCAACACTTTGGGAGGCTGAGGTCGGCAGATCAAGAGGTCAGGAGTTCAAGACTAGCCTGGCCAACATAGTGAAACCCCGTCTTTACTAAAAATACAAAAATTAGCCAGACATGGTGGCGTATGTCTGTATTCCCAGCTACTCAGGAGGCTGAGGCAGGAGAATTACTTGAACCCAGTAGGTGGAGGTTGCAGTGAACCGAGGTTACACCACTGCACTCCAGCTTGGGCAACAGAATGAGACTTCATCTCAAAAATTAAAAAAAGGAAAAAAGAAAAAATCAGACCAAAGTGGCAATTATCAAAACTTTGTAGCATTAAGATAAAACCTGAAAACTCATCAGTCTTTCAACATCTATTCAGGGACTATTTGTGGACCAGCTGCTCTGTGCCAAGCACTATCCTAGGAGCCAGGTATACAGCTGAGGAAAAAAACAGGGAAGGTCCCTAGGGTCATGGAGAACCAGACAAGTCAACAAGACAAGTCAATCAGACAAGTCAACAGTTAATGGGCAGGATAATTTCAGAGGGAGAGAAGTGTTGTGAAGACCAAAAGTGATAGAGAGAGGGCTGGTGCCGGAGGAGCTGTTTTGGATTTAACTATGAGAGAAGGCCTCTCCGAAGAGGTGGACTTTTGAGCTAAGATCTCTAGAACAAAATGAGGCTTCTAAAAATTGATTGTATCTCCATAAAGTCGCTTTTGGGCAATCCCCCCATGTGCAAGACTGAGCCAAGTGTTACTGTCGCATAGATGATGCATAGAAAAAATAGGAATTTTAACTTTAATTCTAACCTTGTTCTTAAGAATTTTATGTTCATCTATATTAAACACAAAGACTGGGAGAAAACATTTGTAATGTATGTGACAAGGGTTTCCTACAAATCAATATAAAAAAGAAAACAATGGAAAATTGGGCAAATTGTAAGAATGACAATTCACAAAATAAATAAATAAAGTCCAAGACCAGGCATGGTGGCTCATGCCTGTAATCCCAGCACTTTGGAAAGCCCAGGTGGGCAGATCACCCAAGGTCAGGAGTTCAAGATCAGCCTGGTCAACATGGCGAAACCCTATCTCTACTAAAAAATACAAAAAAAATCAGCTGGATATGGTGGCTTGTGCCTGTAGTCTCAGCCACTTAAGAGGCTGAGGCACGAGAATCACTTGATCCCAGGCGGCGGAGATTGCAGTGAGCCTGAGATCACACCACTGCACTCCAGCCTGTCGAAAGAAAGAAAGAAAGACAGGAGAGAAGGAAGGAAGGAAGGAAGGAAGGAAGGAAGGAAGGAAGGAAGGAAGGAAGGAAGGAAGGAAGGAAGGAAGGAGGGAGGGAGGGAGGGAGGGAGGGAGGGAGGGAGGGAGGGAGGGAGGGAAGGAAGGAAGGAAGGAAGGAAGGAAGGAAGGAAGGAAGGAAGGA